CTGATCAGCCACGCTTTCAGCAGCTCCACATGGTTGATCTATGACGTCTACCACCACCTCATCGACTGCATCCTCCTCTGCTCCATCTTCCTCAGTTACCGCCTCTTTAGCCACCTGCTCGTCAGCTCCTTCGGTATTCACAGCATTAGCCTCCTCACTTTTCGCAAGGGGCAAGTCTGGATAGAGCATCTCGATGTCTTCATCTACTCCGAGACGCCAGCAGGAGATCCCTGATCTGTAGCCACTTCAGCGTCTGTTTGATCAGCCACACTCTCAGCAGCTCCACCTGCCTGATCCTCCACGTCTGCCCCCACCTCCTTTTTGAAGGAGAAGAAATGTTGTTTCCTTTTGTTTTTCCAAGGAAAGACTTGGGAAAGTACCAAGATCGCCAGCCTGACGGATTTGATGAACCAGCTCAGCACAAGTGGATGGACTTGACAGAAAGTTCATCTTGAGCAGATTAGACACGCCTGCATCCTCTGCAAGGGTGGACTTATCCACCTTGGGATCAGCTGCTGACGTTGCAGAAGAGCCCTTCGCCCAGGCAAATGACTCTCTTGCTTTCTTAGCCTCTGTCAACCTCACTTCCAAAGGAATTGGCGACGATGAATCCACTTCATGCTTGACTGCTCGTGACTCAACAGTTGAAACATGATGGTTGGATGGATGAGCAGACTGCCCAGATCGACTTCCAATCTTCGACTGGTACAAACGACTCAAATTTCGAAAATGAGCATCCGCATCTCTTTGCCTCTCAACAAGTGAGCTAGATCGCACACAGACTACTTTACGGAGCATATTACGATCTCCTCATCAGGCTTGAGCTCTCGAAGACTGACATCAGCCTTCCTCTTTTAGGGGAGTTTAGCAAAACACTCCTCATGTCCAGCAGGCAAATCATCAAGGCTCGGACCATCCTGCTTCCATCTATCGACATCCTTAGCAAGGGGCAGTCCACCAACTTCCTCCTGATCGTCGCTCAGCAGACTCGACTTACTTTGGGATGCACGGCAACTCCTCTCTTCGACAAGCAGTACAAAATTCTCCAAGATCTTTCTCAAGCTAGAAAGTAGAGAAGTTAAGTTTGCGATGTAAGAAAGAGTGAAGAGAAGCCCTGTATTTATACAAGTTGGACAACCCGGGTCAAGAAGGAATCTCAAGCTCTTTCCTACTGGGAATCCAACTCCAACAACAGTCAGAAGCCTACACCAATTAAGAATCCGATCTGCAAAAGGAGTCCAACTCACAGAAGGAAACCCATACGCAGTTGGACAGCCCGAAAAAAAAATAATTTCATCTCCTACATGCCACACAAGTGTCACGCAGAAGCTGGGGGGCATTTGTGGGAGCAAATATTTCCGTCTCCAATCAAGGCAGGCCACGTGGAAAAGAAGATTATCTCTTAAATTAATTAATTGAACCAGTTTATCTGGCCAATTAATTAATT